AACCGCTCTGTCAGGAAGTTCTTCCTAATGTTTAGCTGAAAACACTTCTGATTTAATTTCAACCTGTTGGTTCTGGTCCGACCTTTGGGGGCAACAGAAAACAACACACTATCCTCTAGACTTGAAGATGGTTATCATACCACCTCTCAGTCGTTTCCTCTTCAGACTAAACATACCCAGCTCCTTCAACCTTTCCTTATAGAACTTGGTCTCCAGACCCCTCATGATCTTCATTGCCCTCCTCTGGACACATTCCAGCTTCTCTATATCTTTCTTAAACTGTGGTGCCCAAAACTGAACACAATACTCTAGGTGAGGGCTAACCAGAGCAGAGTAAAGTGATACCATCACTTCACATGATCTGGACACTATACTTCTGTTGATACAGCCCAAAATCGCATTTGCTTTTTTAAAAACCGCATCACACTGCTGACTCATGTTCAGTGTATGGTCTACTAAGACCCCTAGATCCTTTTCGCACATACTACTGCCAAGACAAGTCTCCCTATAATTATGCATTTGATTTTTCCTACCTAAATGCAGAACTCTACATTTATCCCCATTGAAATTCATTTTATTTTTAGCCCAGTTTTGCAGCCTGTCAATATCATCCTGTATCCTGATGTCTTCTACCATTATTTGCTACCCTTCCCAATTTAGTATCATCTGCAAATTTAATAAGCATTCCCTCTATCCCGTCATCCAAATAATTGATAAAGATGTTGAACAAAACAAGTCCCAGGACAGATCTCTGAGACACTCCACTTGTCACTACTCTCCAAGAGGATGAGGAACCATTCACAAGCACTCTTTGGGTGTGATCTGGCAACCAGTTACAGATCCAACTAACAGTCATAGGATCCAAACCACATTTTACCAATTTGTCAACAAGAATATTATGTGGAACCTTATCAAAAGCCTTATTGAAATCAAGATAAATGATGTCTACAGTATTCCCCTGATCCAGCAAGGTAGTAACTTTCTCAAAAAAAGAGATACGGTTAGTCTGACATGAATTGTTCTTGAGAAACCCATGCTGGCTTTTAGTAATTACAGCTGTCCTTTCTAAATGCTCAAGAACTGTCTGTTTGATTATTTATTCTAAAACTTTCCCAGGTATAGATGTCAAGCTGAAGTTTTATTTCCCCTCTTAACAAATTAAGGAAACTCACAAAGTTTCTCTTGCACAATTATTAGGGATAATCACCTGAAAACATTAATTACAACTTTTTGAAACTGCCATTCTTTGTAGTTTTACGAAGCAATTAGAGGCCCACCAACCCCATAACGCTTGCAATATTATAGGGCCTCTGCCCCTCTCTGCTTTGAGGGCTAATGCCCAAAACTGCATTTGACCCTGTTTTTGTCCTGTAATGATAAGCATTTTCAATTTATGGTGTTCGACAACAGAGAACTATTCTTTCAAAGAAATCAATTAGAACATCCGAGTGTAAACACATACACGATTTGTATTTTAATTAGTGTTACTAAGAAACCAGCAAGTGGTATCGACATACTCTTATTCAAGCAATATTTTTAAATGTTGCTTCAAATGCCTAATGATTTGATGTAGGCCTGCGACGACTGGTTTCTGAGGGCAGCCATGTTGACCTATGCTCAGACAGCGAGATTTAGGTCCGGTAATACCTGAGAGACCAAAGAAAGCTCGTACCCCAAAAATCTTGTTGAACTTAAATCAAATTATTTTCTGTGATACTTTATCTGTTTGTAGCTGTGTTCCACTTGTGGGAAAGCAGCTTATGATTTTTTAAAAATTTTGGTAGACCAGAAGTCCTTGTAGTTTTGTGCTGGTTTGTTGGTGAGCAGTGGGTATGTGGGTAGCCAAGTTGGTATTTGAACTTTGGACTGTTTTGCACTGAAACTTATTGTTTGCAAAATCATTTTGAAAGGTCTTTTTGCTAAAGATTCTGTGATGAATCTGAAATGGTCTCTGTCTGATGGTAACGTGCTTAATAATTGAATTTGTCTTTAACCGTATTGATACATTGCATTTTGAAAATGACATTTAAAGGGAATCCAGGTTTTTGAAAAGGGAATTATATTGGAAGTATTATTATAAATCCTTGTTCACAGAAATATCTTAGAAGTATGAAAATTAAACTTCTTTCTACCATTTTATAAATCTGCTTCACATACTTAATAAATAAATAAAATACTTAGATTTGTTATTTGTAGGGCTACTCATAAGTATTGTGCTTTTCTCGCATTCATCTGTTTTTCAGAAAAAAGAGAATTCAAGCATTTGTTTTGAGGGAAAACAGAAAAAATAAAGAATTACATGGACTTTGCAAACAGATGTTAGCAAATGAAAGGTAGGTTGGATGTCGAACGTGCAAAATATGGAACGACAGAGCTGATGGTCCCGAGAGAGTAATCTCTTGAGGTCAACTGAGACGTGGCAGACAACTGCACGTGCTAACCTGGATTCTCAGTTGTGTTTTTCAGTCCACTGTGGGTTCAAGTGTTATTGCTGAAAAATGCCATTTTTATGAAACAATCTGTAAGAAACCTAACTTTTTTAAAGTGCCTACAATACAGTTAGATTTTCAGGGAAAAAACTTGTCTGTTGCATTTGGTAGAAGTGGGCTGCATTTGGCAGATGTGATTTGGCAGGTATGATTATCAGAATTTTGTTTGTGAGTTGGAGGTTTGCTTGACCCATCTGGATTATATGTTAAGTTTACGTCATTTTTCAGGGTACACACCCTGGACTGAAGAATTGTAAGGCGACATCTAGCCAGGAGAAGGAGATGAAGGGATCATGTCTTGTCTAGTTCTCTAAACTTCAGCCTAAATTAGAAAAGTAATCAGTTTCATGCTATGTATGTCACATTTCTTGTGTTGTGTGTAGGGTACCTGAATCTTATTTTTTGATTTGAAGATAGGATTTCTGTGTATGCCACAGATGCTATTAGTTAGGTTGTCAGAAATGGTGCTTGGACGTGCTTAAGTCATAGTGTCTTCATATTCATTGAATGTGTGACTGTTTGAAGATTAGGTTTTTAACCAGAGATACTACATGTGAGAAAAATGTTTGTTGCATCTCTCAATTAAGAAAATCTTTAAAAATTTCTGAATAGTACGTTGTTTGACAGTGTATTGGTGAAGACTTCTGTGTTCACGAAAGCCTTTAGCATATTGCCTGCCCATAAATATTGTCAAATTTTTAAGACTGCAAGAAGCACAATTTGCATGATGATCTAACACCACTCTAAAATACCAGCCAGCACTTAGAAAGGAAGTGGATCTTGGGGTACTGATAGAATGCATAGTTGCAAAGGAAGCCTGTGTCACTGATTGGTTTCAACAGTGGCTAGTAGATTAAAATCAGTGAAAGTAATACATTTGGCAACCATGAAGGTCCTAGTTTAAACTCCAGAAATTGGCAAATTCAAAACTGAGGCTTCCCACCGGATCTTTAGTTGATGTAGCTCCAGCAGGGTCTCTGAGGGTTATTCTCTTCTCAGGTACCTACTAAAATTAAAAACAGCCTGATCTCTCAGGTATTTTTCTTTATTACGCACTCACAGAACTGTTCTAGATATTGGAGAATGCACATTCTTAATGTCAACGAATCTCACTCTTGTGAGGTTACCAAGAGAGTGTTTTTGGGACTGTTAATATCGACCTCTGCTGTCTGCACAGCCCATTCCACTTGGTCTTGGTTAATGCCTTGCTGTGCCTTGGCTCTCCCTTTCCTTTTCCCAATGGCTGGGCAGAGGTCTTCAGGCGGGGGGAGGGGGGGGAGGCTGCTGTGGTATCCCATCCTGGTGCTTGGCTCTCTGTTCCATATTTATCAGTAGGTGTCGACTCGCCCGTGTGGTTGGGGACAAAATGAGGACTCCCCCCTGTTGGTGGTGGTGGTGGCGGCAGCGGGAGCAGCAGCAGCAGCAAACACATGTTAATTTATCTTTGTGTTCTGCTGATGCCGGTGGAACCAGAGTGGAGGAGGGCAGCCAGCCAGTAGAGAGCAGACTCAGTGAGAACCTCTAAGTTTGACCCGCCTGGCTTTGCAATTGTCAGATCCTTAATGTTGTCTTACTGTATTTTTTTGTGTTTTAATTTTTAGTAAAAAATTGAACTCGATCCTGGATTCAGAGAGGTTGCAGTGGATAAGAAGTTTAAAAGCTTTGGTTCAAGATTGCAGGAGGCTGAATGAGAACTTGGACCGAATGGCAGACCTCTCTGTTGTCTTCCAGAACTGAAGATTGTAAATAGCTGAGAAGTGGAATTAATGACTCTGACACTGAACCCCAGTTTAAGAAATGTCAGGTTGGTCGGGGGTCATGGAGGTCTGACATTAGTTTGCAAGTTTTGACTTCATAGTCCAAGAAACCATTGTGAAAATATTGTACGTCAAAGAAGAACTTTTGGTGGTGGTGGGGGCTGTATTTTGCCTAGGTCTTCTTGCAAATCCTGTCTTGTGAAGGGTTTGATTTGGAGCTCAGGGTCGGAATCCAGACTGGTGGAAGCGGTGGCTTTGTCTGTATACAGGAGCCTTTCCCACCCACCCCTGAGAAGGACTCTCTTGAGGTTGGGGAGGCTTTCTGGGAAAGAGCCCCCATGATGCTGCTGCTCAGGGAAGGCAGCTTTGTCCTTCCCCGTGCATGAACAGAACAGCTTGCTACCTGCTCCTGAGGTGGGGGGAGGGAACATCTGGCATGACCCGGAACTGTCTCTTCTGGTTAAAGATGGAATGGAACGTTTCTGAATTCCTTATTTCCTCCCAGAAATGTGCTTCAAAATAAATGTATCACTGAGCTTCTCGTGGTGCTGAATTTTAATTATAGTTTTCTGCACTTGCGAAAGCCTGGAATACACACAGCCCTTGTTGTAGTTTTGCAACTGATAAATGTTGCCAGATTGGCTTATAGGACCTGACTAGGTGTTTATTTAATCTAGGGTGGAAAAGGTTTCTGAAACCTGGGGGCCAGACAGATTTTCTGGGAGCTGAATTCAAAGGAGTGAAGGGGCAGAAAGACTCAGAAGAGCTGGTTGTGTGGGGGGGGGGATCCTCTCTCTCGAGTTTTGTGCTCTCCCCACCAGCCCCTTCCAAGTGCTGCCTGTTGAGCTGGTGGTAGTGCTCAAGCCCCTCTGTCTTGGTGCTGAGAGATGCAGTCTACGGATGGTCACAGTTTGCATTGCAGAGTTGAGCCTTTGAACTGGAAGAGGTTCTGGGGCCAGGCCTTGGGAAGTATTTTGTCAAGCTAGGCTTTTTCTCTGGCTATTGCACTAGCAGGTTGTAAAAGGCAGATGCCCACAGGAGAGTAGAGGTGGAAAATCTAAAAGGGAGGGGGGGGGAGGAAAAGGGGGAAATAATTAATTATTGTATGGCATAGTAGGAAATGAAGCCAGGAGATCCTAAGATTGTCTGGCATCCTGAAGTTCTAGTAAAAAGAATAAAAGAGAAAATGGTACAGAATGGGAGGGAGGAGAATGATGGATGGCTGTGGAATGTGGAACAGCCTGGCAAAGAACCCCAGAGAGAAATCTGTGAGTAAGCCCACCCCACCCCCCTACCTTTCCAGTTTACAGCAGCTTTTGTATCTGGTCACTGTGAGCTGCAAGTGAGTAGCTATTTAAAAGCTAGAGGCCGGGGAAGAGGTGGCCTGGCCCTGCACTCAGGGAGAGCTGAAACCTGCCTCCTGCCCTTATTTTAATAAATAACGTTGAGAATGCCGTTTACAAGAGCCATAGGCATTCCTTTATAACAGCCTCGCAAATAAGTCCTCAAAAGTTATTGCCTGCAACATTTTTTTTTGGCTAGCCTCCCTGTCCATGGGTGCCGGTTGTAGTCACTTGCGACTTATAATGGCTTGTGTAGGTCCTTTGATGCCCTCCAGGAACTGGGCAAGTGACCACGGGCAAGCCTGTTTTGGTACGGTCAGTTCTCTGTGATGCAGTGAGAAAATGTTCTTCATGAGGCCCAGTCCCATGAGTTTCCATTTTCATCTTTCTGCTGCCCTGAATCTGAGATTATGAACCAGTTCATGTGTTTCTGTTTCCTAACAAGGTGCAGCATACACACTCAACCAAAGGCTTTTCTAAAAACTCAATTTCCTCCTTTTCCTACTGGAAACTTTGTCTTTACCAGTCTAGAAAAAGTATTTTGTTTTATCAAATTACTTTAAAATGTAATGTCTTTTGTATGTAAAAGTATTTTTTCCTTTGTTTATTTTAGGCATTCGACCACCCATCATGAACGGGCCCATGCACCCACGCCCTCTGGTAGCACTGCTGGATGGCAGGGACTGTACCGTAGAAATGCCAATCTTGAAGGACGTTGCCACGGTTGCATTTTGTGATGCACAGTCCACACAAGAAATACATGAAAAGGTAAGACTAAAGAATTTCCCGTATGTGAGTTAATTGGGCTGTTTAACTTTTGTTAAGGAGCTGCGGTGGCTCAAGTGGTTAAGATGCTGAACTGCAGGCTGTGGAAGGTCGGTAGTTCAGCAGTTCGAGACCCGAGTGTGCCGCATGACAGAGTGAGCCCCCGTCTCTAGTTCCAGCTCCTGCCAACCTAGCAGTTGGAAAGCAAGAAATTGCAAGTAGATAAATAGGTACCACTTTGGTGGAAAGGGAACAGCGTTCCGTGCGCCTTGGTGTTTAGTCACGCTGGCCACATGACCACGGAAATGTCTTTGGACAGCGCTGGCTCTTCAGCTTTGAAACTGAGATGAGCACCGCAACCCTAGAGTCGGATTCGACTGGCTTTCGAGCAAGGGAACCTTTACCTTTACCTTTTTAACTTTTGTGGGGAGAAGAAGGTTATCCCCAAATGTTAGGTTTTTTTCAAGAAAGATTTTCCTGGAAACCTGGGGATTTCTTTACATTTGCAGAATCCTTAATGGTAGCCATGGCCAGCTGCAGTATGGAGGTTTCCCTGTCTGCTTGAGGCCAGCCCCTGGCTATTAGATACAGTGATAGCTGAGCCCGTAGCGATTCTCTGTCCTGACACATCCTAGCCGGTCCTGGGACCCACACCTGACAGGATCCCACTGATTTTCTCTTTCCGTCTCACTGGAGCAGTTTTAGCAGCCCCCGGCTATGAGCTGTGAGCCCTGCCCTCGGTCAGGTGTGAGCAGCACCCAGGGGAAGGGCAGGTATGTTATTCAAGAGAGAGAATGATTAAGTACATTGAGGCACCAAGCCTCCTGAGGGGAAACCAGTATGGCTGCTTCAAAAGGGAATCCTGCCTTGACCAACCTTTTGGAGTTTTTTGAGTGGTTTAACAGGCACATGGATAAGGTTATCCAGTGGTTAATATATATGTGGAGAAGGTAACTCACCTAAGACTCCTGAATAAACTTAGCAGCTAAAGGATATGAGAGTGAGTCCTGTTAGGGATTAAAAGTCGGTTAAATGACAGGGAGCAGAAACTCGGGATGAATGGACAAGTCATCCCAGGGGAGAGAAGTGAGCAGCCAGGGTCCCATCAGCAGTATCAGTACTGGGACTGGGGCGGTATAATATGTTCATCAGTGATCTGAAAGTAGAAATGCAGAGTTTCCAGAAATTTTGAAGCTGGGGAAAACCCCCACATTTCCCCCCATTCTTTTGGGGAGACGAATGGAAACGTTAAGAAAATTTGAAATGAGGCACTACATACTTTTCCATCAAGCTCAAACTTTTTACTGATTTAATGGCATGAAAGCATCATTAATAACTTAGCATATACAATTTTATTATTTAGCATATTTATGGAATTTACAAATATGAATATGTCAGTTTGCAAGTAAACTCACTACTCAAGGAAAAGTTGCAAAATGCTGCATCCTCTTCTACCATAGTACATGTATCTTTAATTTTTGCCATCTGAGAGGAATGAAAAAAATCGGAGTTGAAGGCAGAAAACAAATTCTATAGTAAACAAGAGAAATTAGTATTTGGACAGAAACTCTCTCATAGAGTCATAGTAGGTAGGACTGCCAGTATGTTTGAATATTAAGCTAAACTTTATAATATTACCAGTGCCAGGAGACAACATCAGGGGAAGACCTGGGCCTCTCTGCCCTGTTTGTTGTCCCTCCAGAGGGACTGGCTGGCCCCTGTGTGAGACGGGATGCTGGACTGGATGGACCCTCACTGGTCTGATCCAGCAGGGCTCTTCTGGTGTTCTTATCAGGAGAAGGCCTCGGCCTCCCTGCCCTGTTGTTGGCCCTCTAGAGGAACTGGTTGGCCCTTGTGTGAGAAGGGATGCTGGGCTAGGTGGACCCTCACTGGTCTCATCCAGCAGGGCTCTTCTGGTGTTGTTATCAGGGGAAGACCTCAGCCTTTGTACCCTGTTGTTGGCCCTCCAGAGGAACTGGTTGGCTACTGTGTGACGCAGGATGCTGGACGAGATGGTCCTTCAGTGGTTTGATCCAGCAGGGCTCTTGCGTTCTTAATACTGAAAATTTTGAAATCTTTAATAATGCATTACCATTAAACACATTATAACAGTGGTTCTCAACCTTCCTAATGCCACGACCCTAATACAGTTCCTCATGTTGTGGTGACCCCCAACCATAAAATTATTTTTGTTGCTACTTCATAACTGTAATTTTGCTACTGTTATGAATCGTTATGTAAATATCTGATATGCAGGATGTGTCTCGGTTCCTAAGACCATCGAAAATTTGTGTTTTCCGATGGTCTTAGGCCTGTGAAAGGGTCGTTCGACCCCCCCCCCAGGGGTTGCGACCCACAGGTTGAGAACCGCTGCATTATAATATATTAACCATTGCCAAAATTATTTAGATTTAAACAAGTTTTGAAAATATTGTGTATGTCTGCAGTATTAAAGGGTTTTTTCCCCCCAATGCTCCCCAAAATTCTGAATTTTTTGCATTGGAAAAATTGAAGAAGTCCTCAGACTCTTTCATGCTATATGTTTTGAATGTGACAAACCTACTCATTCTACAAGTGAAGATATTTCATAGGGGATTCTTTTCAGTGTTTCCACCAACTTTTATTTTTTCCCCTTGGGGAAAAGGGGGGCGGGCTGAATTTCCTCTGTTTTTACCTGCGCCCTCACATGTCTATCTGAAACTGGGCAGTAAAGAACATTGATATGGGTTTGATTTGATATAGCATTTCATTTTGATTTATATTTCATACACAAAATTTAAAGAATACCCCATAATAATGTCATGCAACTTGAATTGAAATATTTGATTAGAAACAGTCAAGTGTGATTAAAATGTTACATTCAAACAAATTTACTGCTTTGTGTGAAAATGGAATACTTGTAAAAAATTTAAGAGCCCAAGAATTGTTCACATGCTAATATAAGTGCGCCCAAGGAACTGTGTCTCTCAATGATATGGTTCTTTTGGAAAAATAGGAATTTGAAAATGTTTCAGAAAATTTTGGAGTGTGATCTGATTTTGCTCTTTTTTTTTTTAAGTGAGTGCACAAAACTGAAAACTTAAGTTCATTTTCTGTTCAGATAACAACAAATACTTGAACTGAAATATTTTATTAAGAAAAAATTAATCAAGTATGGTTAAATGAAATCCAGCGCTTTATGCAGAATTTAAAAAATTGGAACAGTACTTTTGAAATGTACTTCCCTTATACTTTTAAATACAGGATAAAAACCCAAAGGCCCTGAGAACCTATTGGCACCATTAATTTTAGTGTACTCAAAGAACTGTGCATACCGTGCGATGGACGTAGTTGTCCATTCATATATTTCAGCAGAATTTAACTCTCACCTACAGAGGTCATTGGCATACCTCAGTTTCACTGTCATTCTCCGTAGCATTACTTGTATTTAAAGATGTGAAGGCCTGGAAAATATCAGGATAGATGAAAGGGAACAAACCGAGTGAAGGTGAAGTGGAGTCAGTGATTGTAATGGGAGGGTATGCTCGTTCTTAGGGAGCTGGGATTGCCTCCTCTCGAAGTGCTTACATTTTGCCTTGCAGTGTAGCTTTGTAGTTGTGCATCATACGGTCCCTCATCTCTATTGCAAGGTGCTCACGTGGCAGCTGTGGCCAGGGGTATGTTTCTGCTAGCTTTGTTTCATAACGCCTTGTCATGGGACTCTTCCCTCTAGAATAGGCGCATCCGTGCACTGAGACCCTGAAGGACTTGCTACTGTAATATGTTCTAAGTAGGACACTGTTCAAAAGCTCTCTAGCTGGTTTAAATGCCATTGCTCACTTTCTGGTTAAGTGTGGGTATTTATTTAGATATTTGTGGCTTGCGCTTTTCCCCAGTGGGGACCCCAAGTGGCTCACAACAATTTGTACTCTTTCTCTCTCTCACACACACACATATTAAGAGTCTTGCTTGTAGGAAATGAAGGTGTTTATATGAGAGGAGAATGCATCTCTGTGGGAGCGTCCTCAGGCCGTGGTGGCCTGTCCTGTTCTGATTTGGCAGACTTGTTTCACCATTTCAGGTGGAGGCAAATGGATGCACTGCTAGACAGAGGGAAGGGCAGGGGGAGAACTCAGGTGCCCCTCCTGAGGAAGGGAAGGCAAGATGTGAGGAGGGGCTGCTAACACTGTGCACTGATATCTCTTCTCACCAAGGGTCTCCCAAAGGACTAGAACTCGAAGGCATCCAATGAAGCTGATGGGCAGTAGGTTCAGGATGGAGAAAAGGAAACACTGCTTTACACAGACTGATTAAAATGTGGAATTCACTACCAGAGGATGTAGTGATAAACAGCTTTAAAGGGGGATTAGATAGATTCATGGAGGATAAGACTTATCAATGGTAACTGAGGGAAACCTCCACATTCAGAGGCACTAATCCTCTGAATCCCAGAGCCAGGAGGCAACATCAGGGGAAGGCCTCGGCCTCTGTGCCCTGGAACTGGTTGGCCACTGTGTGAGAAAGGATGCTGGACTAAATGGACTATTGGTCTGATCCAGCAGCTCTCTTTTTAGGTTCTTACGCTCATAAGCATGGCAAAGAAATAAGGTAGAAACCAGGTGGGCAGAATTTTAATTGGAAGTGTTTAGAATAGAGGTGACTCGTTAGATCATGAGGAATGCATTGGTGGCTTGGAGAATGTAAGACTAGAACCAAGGGTCATTCTGTGCATTCCAGAGTACTTTGCACCTGTGTGTGGGGAGTATCAAACCCTTACAATTGTATTTAGGTTTCGATTCTCTCAACTCACAAATAAGTATTATGGACTATCATGGTCGCCCTGGTAACGAGCCGAAGTTGACATCACTTTGCTGGTCTGTGAGTGGCCAAAGGCCTAGGCTACTCAGAGACCTCAATTCCTATAAAGTAAGCTTCTAGTCAGTGACTACTAGGATTGCTGGGGTATTGGGCCTAGCTTGGTCAATACTCTGAAGCAACCCCACTATTTGGCATCATGATTTGAT